TTTTTTTTTTTTTTTTAATGAGATCCATTTATGGCGGACGATATTTAATTGTGGCGGCCCGCCACAAATAAATCAATGTATGGGAAACACTGGCACATATTAACAGCCCACAAAAAAGAAATAAGACAACCGGTTATCAGAACTTATATTTCCAACCTAAATCCATTGTGTTCAGCATCTTAATATATGAACACATTAGGTGTGTATTTGTGTGTATCTGTACAGCTCTACTGTGTGTTTGTTTGTCCTTTCTTCCTATACTCTTCTTTTAAAAATCTAATTTGTGTTCCAACCATTTTATTAAATCATCCTTATGTTGACAGAAATATCCAGATCCAATATGCAGTATTTTAATAACCGCACCATAACATCAAAAAGAGAATTGTAAAGCTCTTGTTGTAAATCTTATAATCAAGCTACCACTGGTGGCTTTTTCAATAATCTCTCCTTCTCTGCTTTGTGTGTCATTTCTTCTTCCAGATCAAGTGCTCAAACATTTGCCAGTTGGAGAAGCTAGTTTTATTAAAGCTCCACGTCACTGCTACAGTACTTTCTGCAATCAAGTTCAGTGTGCCACATAATGGGTAAAGAGAGAAGAGTGTGTTGCATTCGAGTCAAATAAAGGGAATTCAAAGATATAAATGCATTTTCTACCATCACTAAAACCATAGACTGTGTAAAACAAGCTCACCACCTTCTTCAGAAAATATAGGACATTGTAACTCGCTGATGCAGTTTACAGAATTGTCCTTTGTTTGTTTAATTGTTGGTTAATTTTTCATCCAGCATTTTTAAGTTTTTGTTCCTGCACTTTTTTAAACATATACACATTAACCTAAAATCATTCAAGCGTGTGAACAGTTGACACTTCCTTTTCATTTTTAGAAATTGTGTTTTCAGCATGGCTAAAGAAATTCAGATGCAAGTAGTTTCTCTCAGTAGTTCTGTAGATTTAATTAAATTCCAAAGAATTGTGATCCAAGGTGAAAAAGTTATATTTTCATTTTCAAATGATTTTTGCAATAAATCCCCGCTTGATGTATATTTTTACATGAAAACATGGAAATAAATGACATTTCTCAAATTATTTGTCTATTCAAAATTGTATTTATTAATTAAGCAGTCATCATAATTTGAAAGGCACAAAGCTAAAAGCATTAAAAAAGATCTAAAGCCTGCTCATTAGAGAACTGAAACATCATTTCTCGTACTTTATACTTTGGTTTTCCGCACATTTGATTGGGCTTAAGATTCACAAACCCTTTACTAAAACATCTTGACATGCATTGAAACAGCATTTCACAGTTGACTCTGCTCAGTATTTCCTTAACAGAGAGGAAAATGTGAAACCAAAGCCGGTTTAATATGAGGTGGCATGATGAATAGCATGGCAGCCCGCCTGAGGCCCTGTGTACACGGTTCACTAATTAATGCTAATTCCTTGATATGCAGCTCGTTCCTCCGTCTTCAGTCTGGAATCCATTGACTGGCATCCAGAGCTAAATCAGGCTGCGGGAGAATGCTGATGAGAAACTCGTATCAGAGCCTCCATGTTGTGGCATTTGGCCACCATCGAAAGAATGACATTCCCGGCTTATGGCTGTGGAGCATGTCACTGTCACTCCATCCATCCTTATCTCGCGCTCCAGCGGACGGGTGGTCCTAATCGTGGGGAAGTGGGCACGGGAATGTCCGGCTCATAAAATGTGACCTGAACCCACCCACATGCCCAAATGGTCCAATCCACATTCCCCAATAGACTTTAATAGAAATCAACAGTAATCTACCTGCTTAAGCTTTGAAGAAGTGAATAATAAATGGCTATTCATACATTATATATATTGTTTAAGCAGATGATCACAACAATTCTGTTTGATCACTACCCCGCTCTTTGATGTCTCAGGTAAAGAATTAAAGTTGGCAGATTAAAGAGGCACACGGGCAGTTACAGAGCCCAAAGTCTGTAATGCTGTGAGCTAAAGCGGTTAAGCTTATGAGATTTCCAGCACCCACCCTGCGACTCGCCTCTATGAAAGGCTGAATTTTAAAATATATTATAATAGAAATTCTCCATTTCTAGTGACAGTATGTTTTTTTCTTATTGTGTCACTGTTCCTGGTGATGGGAACGCTCACAGACGCCCGCAGGGATGGCAGCTGTCTTCATGGAATCCAGATAAAAATAGCTTAGTCAAAATCACCTCTCCCCCCCTTCCCCAAACCCCTTCAATATCTGTTCTCCCTCCACACCAGAAGTGAGTGATGATACGCACATCCTGCCTAGTTTTGCTGACCCATTATCTCTACATGTGTTACTGCCCCTCCCTCTCTTTGGGGTCATCAGGTCTTTCTTTCCCCTGTGGTTAATGCTGGGTCTGGTCACTCAAGGGTCTCCCTTTCACGAATCAGCCAGGCTGTTCAGGTCACAGATATTGTGAGTTCAGTGTTAACCCATTTGTGAGCACTAGCCCCTCTGGAACATCAGGCTACAATCATCCCTAATAGGTTGTTTTGTCTGCCCATATAATCCAAAGCTAATAGTGGTGTTTCTCTCCTCTGTGCTGAGTGACAGTGCTGCACTGCGGGTATAAGCCCTACCCTTGTTTGGAGAATGGAACTGTTGTAAAAAAAATTAAGAGATTTCACAATATTTAATACATGAAGATACATAATCTGTAATATCTGACATACACCATATTGGCAAATTCAAGGTTTTTAGCTAAATGTTGGCTTCTCTCGTGCTTCAACACTTAGTTCTAGACTAAAATGTATCGTATTCATCACCTATTTGTTTACCTGACAAGAAACAAGCCACTATAATTGACAATTTTCAAAACACATCACTGCTAAAACATGAAATCACGTGACAATATTTGCTATACCGTTATGTTGCATTTTTATTTATTTTTAGTTGGGTCTGTTTGTCTGCAGGTTTAGAAAAAAAGCTTTTGGATTTTTGAGTGCATCAGAATCCCAAAGCGATACACAAAACCATTTTTTCACTTTTGATAATGTTTATAGATCGGGCATTTTGCCTTGCAGGAGTTTTTTTTAATGTATTGCAACTCATGTTTGTCTCTTCTTTAACTGCTGACAGACGGTCCTTGGGGTACTGGTATTAAGTTGCAGAATGTAAGGGCATCATCAGGTTGTATGCCAGTATTCACGCTGAAATGCTAAGCAGAGCTTTGAGCATTATATTGGCACTGACATTAACATCATGCATAATAAATAACACCCCGGGCAGCTCCGACCGCAGAACCTACCTGCCTGAGTCCCTCTTCTTTAACTCTGTCTTTAACCGACTCCCAGGGATTACCCAGTTCAGGGTCATTACTTATCCTGATACTTCAAAGAAGCTTTATACCCGAACAATAAGAGACTTATCATTTAAATCAACCCTCCTTGAGTGTTCATAGTGTACACAAAGTATCCAGATAAAGAGCCCTGCCTCTGCAGAAGAACTGGACACTCCCTCTCCCTTTACATGAGACAACACAAACAGGTGCTTGCAACAACAATTTCAACACTTGCATTGCATGTGAACAGATTACTCAGAATGGGCTTATAGTATTAGCTAATGGACTTGATCGTGGATGTCAGGCATTATCATAGATGTGAGGGGGAAGGCTAGCATCACCAAAACAACACTGGGATGGTCTTTAATTTAGAAAAACAACACTTTTACTGAAGCAATAGATCGATAAGTACTTTATTGAATAAGGCAATGTACATAAGAGAAATCAAGGCACTAGAAGTAAACAGTCCAAAATATATATCTGAAATAGAAATAAAATAGCATTCAAAAGTGCAAAAATCTACATGTGGGAATACATATTTCCAGTAACAAATATAATGCAGGGTATTACAATAACTATGACGAAGCCATAAAACATATGTTATACTGTTTTTCACAATTCCTTATACTACTTTCCCAACAATACTTTCTAAAATGAGACATTGAACTCCACTAGGAGAAGGGAAACGGATGCCATGTTGGAGTGCATACCTTGTTTTGACAGTATCCTGAGGGCACTTGAGGTTAGATGCTGTTTTTCTGGAAGTGTTAGAGCTGAGCCACAGCTGTCAGCAGAGCATCACCTCTACATTTCCCACTCAGGTGAGCATTCCCCGTCTGAGCCTAAGCTTTGGTTTCAGTCATCGCTCTGGTTTCATCACCCTTGTCAAAACTGACCCCGAAAGTAACTATTGCTGAACCTCTTGAGGTATAGTTTAACTTGTGGACTTTCATTCATTAATATCCCTTTTGAGAGTGTTTCAGTTTGAATCTCATTCCACACTTATCTGATTTGCTGAATAAAGGACTTTTCACTTAGCAAGCAGCTTGCATTTAAATGCATCTTAAGCCCTGCTGGTGTCAGCAGATGTTCACCGCAGCCCAAATGTGTGGAACATAAATTAATGAAATACATAACTGCCCCCAGAAATATTCCCTTTCCACCCCTGTTTTTGATCATCCATCAAATATAAAAGTCTTTTGGTGAGACTTTGCAAATGATTCAGCACATACAGGGGGGGTGCTTTGTTTGTCTTTTTACCTACATCGCTAAATTCATTGCTTTATTGCATAAGAGTGATTGTAAAACAGACACATAGATTTATAGTTCAGTGTCATTATCTAAGAGTATGTTTGTTTTAACAGGCATGTCGCCAAACTACTCGTAACCGCTGGCTTTCTTTCTGATTGGTCGAAGAGGATAACAGACTCCGGCTCACTAAGCTTTTGCGTTAATTACATCCAAACATGTGGGTGACGTCCAAGTATACCAGCCAGCGTCTGTTTCAGCCTCCTATTGTAACATGGCTTTAGCTCAATAACAACAGGTTTTAAAATGATCACAGCAATAACCGTTAACCAGGTAGGAAAATATAATTGTTAACATACAAAAAAACTTGTGGGTAATGTTACATATGTATATAGGAATATTTCAATAGAATTCTTTAGAAATAAACACATGAAATGAATGTATTAACCTTATAACCGTTTCCTTTAATCTAGCATTATTTTAAACGCAATTCGTTAGATGATCATTTTGTATTAACGCACCCTTATAAAAGTGTTTTTAGTCACAGCTCATGGCTTTATGAATTGTTATTAAGTGACTTATTAATGCTTCAAATATCACTTGTTGGGTTAAATGGTTGAACAGATGTTGAAAACCTGATGTTTAAAACCAATTATTTATTGTAAACATATCAATTATGAAGTAAGATAAACAATATATTTAATCGTTTATTTGAAGAGGGACAATGCATATTGATGAACATTTAAAACAAATAATGCTTTAAAATGTAAACATGCCGGATTTTAGCTTTGAGCTAATTTCCATCCTCACATACAACATTTAAGAACCTGACATTTACAGTGGGGCAAAAAAGTATTTAGTCAGCCAGCAATTGTGCAAGTTCTCCCTCTTAAAAAGATGAGAGGCCTGTCATTTTCATCCTAGGTATACCTCAACTATGAGAGACAAAATGAGAAAGAAAATCCAGAAAATCACATTGTCTGATTTTTAAAGAATTTATTTGCAAATGATGGTGGAAAATAAGTATTTGGTCAATAACAAAAGTTCATCTCAATACTTTGTTATATGCCCTTTGTTTGTTGGTCAAACGTTTTCTGTAAGTCTTCACAAGGTTTTCACACACTGTTGCTGGTATTCTGGCCCTTTCCTCCATGCAGATCTCCTCTAGAGCAGTGATGTTTTGGGGCTGTCGCTGGGCAACACGGATTTTCAACTCCCTCCAAAGATTTTCTATGGGGTTGAGATCTGGAGACTGGCTAGGCCACTCCAGGACCTTGAAATGCTTCTTACGAAGCCACTCCTTCGTTGCCCGGGCGGTGTGTTTGGGATCATTGTCATGCTGAAAGACCCAGCCACGTTTCATCTTCAATGCCCTTGCTGATGGAAGGAGGTTGTCACTCAAAATCTCACGATACATGGCCCCATTCATTCTTTCCTTTACACGGATCAGTCGTCCTGGTCCCTTTGCAGAAAAACAGCCCCAAAGCATGATGTTTCCACCCCCATGTTTCACAGTAGGTATGGTGTTCTTTGGATTCAACTCAGCATTCTTTCTCTTCCAAACACGTCGAGTTGAGTTTTTACCAAAAAGTTCTATTTTGGTTTCATCTGACCATATGACATTCTCCCAATCCTCTTCTGGATCATCTAAATGCTCTCTAGCAAACTTCAGACGGGCCTGGACATGTACTGGCTTAAGCAGGGGGACACGTCTGGCACTGCAGGATTTGAGT